GTAATAGTTATCGCTAATCTAATATTCGGTACGACGTGTCAAACCTGTGAAAATAAATAATAGAATTTATTTAAATATAAAATTCCTTTCAATAACAGAGAACTTTCAAGAGTCTTATATTTGAAAAAAATTAAAGGTTTCATTATTTAATAATATATCTATATATTATGTTTATTATATTTAAATATTATTTATATATTCGGTTTTCATTATTTAATGATATATATACAACAGTGAATTACATATACTTGCTACACAACAATATTTATGAAAATGATTGTTCACACTTACCATTTTGGAGTTACTTGTAAAAAATGTACGTCATAAACATGTAATAACATCAACCAATACACTGAATCGAAAAACAACATTGCTGTAACATTTAGAAGTTCTGTGATAAGCTAGAGTCTCATATCAATTAATTTACCATACTATGTTACTTATGGATTTAGGTTAGGTTTACAAATATATTACAAATGTTTAACTAACGGTATCTAATACAGTCCTCAGAGTATATAATTCATTTGGAATAGAAAAGGTCACGATTGAATTCTAATAAGGCATTACAGGTTTAGGTTAGGTTTCCATACCTCGAAGCATAAATATCTAAATCAATACTAGTCATCATCGTTGGTATTAACGAGGCTTCATCGATTCTGTATCGTACCTAACCTATCGAAACTGTTGTTGTTTCCTTTTCATTATCCCCTCGTCGTCGACGACGAGATTCGAGAGAAATCGGCGAATAAGCTTGGCCCTCCAGCTTCATTTCATTCACGACTCGTTGGAAAATATTGATTTGCAATAAGCGGTGAAAAACGCGCAAGAACAGCCGGCGTGTATAATCGAAATCGAGGCTTCGTTTCGCTGGCGGGCATGCGCCAAATTTCGCGAGAGGATGATATATAATACTCTCGCTATACGGTCCACCGGGTCGGGCTTGGAAAATTTCAATTTTTAGCGACTTATGACCGCCGTTCGTTCGATCCGCGGCCGTATTGATTTTATTGATTTAACGATAACCACGTGCATATCTCACCAGCCGATAAAATGACTGCGCATGCGCAGTACGATCGCGGGTGCTTAGAGAATGAACAGCGCGGAGAAATTGGCCAATTTAATTGCCTCTGTTAATACAACCGATATCCTTGATAACTCAGAGGAATATATCTATCAGATGAAAGTTTTTCTTCGTTAACTCGAATCATGCTCTGATATTGATATGCGTAATCTCAGCTCAGAAGTTTTAGGACAAATATTATATTTGTTGAAAGTATAATAAAAATTTATTGAAAAATAAATTATTCTATTAAGTTACATTAAAGCTATTTGTTTATTAAATATATATGGAAAAATAAGTATTACACGTATGACATAACTATATTTCGTTTCGGCATTTTAAGAAAGATTGAAGGGAACGTCACGTGACCCTTGGTGCGGTCACGTGATTAATGCGTGACTATCAATTTCAAAAATGGAAAAATTGAATGGCAGCTCATATACAAGAAAGAGTTTGTAAAATGTTGATTATATTAGCAATCGTATTATAAAAAATATATGTGTGTAGAT